GAGACAGCTCAGAAGCGGAGTAACCCCAGCCCTAGTTTATCTAGGCAGGGTCCCCAGGTCCTGGCCTGGACGTTGCCCTCTGGGCAGGAGAGAGACACTGGCCAGGTTGCTCTGGGTTGGAGCCTGACCCGGTGTCCCTTTGCAATGGCCACAGGCTCCTGCACCTCAGAAAGCCCCGGATGGCAGGCTGCGCCCACTTCTTTGCCTGGATCTCCACCATGCTGCCCCCACTGCTCCTTGGGAGAGGCAGGTGGCTTCTGGGGTACAGTCTGTCTTTGCCCTCCCAGTATCCTTTGTGCTGGTGGCCCCCAATTTCCAGACAAAGTCCCCATCAGGGACCCAGCAGAAGGGGCCAGCACAGGCAGTGTGTGGGGATAAGGTTAGAGGGGGATAACTGCTCTTTTTTTCTCCCCTTGCTTTAAAATCCTTTGATTTTTCTGAGCCATTCATCACTTGCAGGCGAAGCTTTGCCACCACTGATATATTTAAACTCTCAGCATTAGCGATCTCAGCAGCCTCTCCCAGGGAGAAAAAAATACAACAAAAAACCTCCCCAACTCCACTGAGCCAGGTGGCCTCTTGAGACATGTGGGATTCCTGTCCCCAGCCCAAACCTCTCTCTTTTCAAAAGGAGGTGGCAGTTCCCGGAAATAGACACGTTTGTGAATTTCAGCATCCTATTACAGTGGTGATGATCCGACAAAAATCACGCGAAGTGAGATATTTATTTGGGTGCACAGCTGACAGATGTCACAAGGATGTAGACTGAAACTCCGAGAAGCCCGCCGGGAGGTGATGGCATGGGTGGCTCGGGGATCCCATCTGTACGACCCAGGCTGCCTCCAAGTTCACGGCTGAGGCCACGGCACGAGGAGCGAGCTGGGTCTGGTGGTGGGCTCCTCAGGAAGGTATCCATCACACCACAGGCTTCTTGAGGCAGGTTTGCGCGGACCTGGGCAGATCCACCAAGCTTCCTGTCCCTCAGCTGTGACCATCTAACTTGAGTCGGTAACATGGAGCACAGGTGGCAATCACCATCTATGCCAGTGGCATTGGATCGTGATTAGAATAGACCGAGTGATGTGAATGCCTCCATGTCATCGAGGGGCTCGCTCGGGGTGCCCATTGGATGTGGGCGCTGCTGTTGTTAATTGCCCCATTTGGGCTCCTAGGGACTGTGTTGAGTGTTTATCCAACCCCTCCCCCTCCTTTTTCCCCCACAGCAGAGAGTGGCCTACAGTACATCCATATTGGCTTGGATGCCCTCTTCAGCTCCATCCATAAGGGAAGAAGAATTGGTCCCATTTGCTGGATTTCAGTAGCAGTAGGGAAGGTAGTGGGTCCCAGGCTCGTTTACTATTTATTTATTTATTTTAATATATTTTATTGATTTTTTACAGAGAGGAAGAGAGAGGGATAGAGAGTTAGAAACATTGATGAGAGAGAATCATCGATTAGCTGTCTCTTGTACACCCCCTACTGGGGATGTGCCTCGCAACCAAGGTACATGCCCTTGACTGGAATCAAACCTGGGACCTTTCAGTCCACAGGCCGACTCTCTACTGACTGAGCCAAACCGGTCTCGGCTTGTTTACTATTTAACTTAGATGTTAAAACAGCACATGTAATTGGCCTAGATACGTCACTGCCACTGCCACTGCCACTGGAATTGGAAGTACATGGGAGTGTTAAGAAGGGTTTGTGACAGTGATTGCAGGCCTCATTTGTGAAATATCTAGTTAACTAAGCATAGATGGTCACCAAAGCCCCAGGAATGCAAGAAGGAAGTTGGGAAGAGAGTTTGTCATAGCTGACTTTTTTTTTTTTGTAACCTCAATCATCACATTTGATTGTATAAGTAAAAGGAAACTTTGTCCTGGCTGGACTGGAGCAAACTCCCCCTTGAGTGGATGCATACATGCACACACATGTGTGCACTTGTGTGCACATGCACACACACACACACACACACACACACACACGCACACGCACACACTGTAGCATTTTAGAACCATAGACTGCAGCTCCATGAGGTGGAGATCCATGCCTTCCAGGTTCACTGCCAGGATCTGTGAAGGTGAGATTTGGGGTGGATTTGAAGAACCGTAGGGTTAGTAGAGAATTTGGGGTACTTATAATCTATCTTTTCATGAGGTTAATTCTCCTACTCATGGAGGGCTCTGCAGCCACCCAGAAAATATCCAGTCCTACCTTCGCTACTTTGCCACTTGCTGTGTAACCTGGTGCAAGTAACTTAACCTCTCTCTGCAGTCCCCTCAGCTGTAAAAGGTCAATCCTGACAATACACAATCCATAGGGCTGTTTGTGGGCCAAATGACTTATTGCATGAAAAACTGAAGAATATTTATTATCTATTATAAATGCTTACGTGTTCATTGATATTATTATTAAATGGTGCTTCCACCTTGCTATTCATTACTCTGTCCTTATGCCTAATTAAGATGTGAAACTCCACCTTAAAAGTTTTCTACCTGTTTTGCTATCACTTGAGGTTCTTTTTCTGATATAGAACTTACAGAGCTCAAACAAATTCTCTATCAAAACCTCCTGGTATGCCCAGCTGGCAAAGCTCAGTGGTTGATCATTGACCTATAAGGTCACGGTTCAATTCCTGGTCAGGGCATATGCCCAGGGTTGCAGGCTCGATCCCCAGTGTGGGGCATGCAGGAGGCATCCAGTCAATGATTTTTTTCATCATTGATGTTTCTCTTTTGCTCCCTCTCCCTTCCTCTCTGAAATCAATAAAGATTAAACAAACAAACAAAACACCTTCAGCACCTGTGGATAGGTCCACGTTCTCTGTGGGCCTCAGTTTTGGTTTGTTTGTGGAGGCCAAGCTGTATGATCTCCAGAAAACTCTCAGCTCCACCGTGGTGGCTGTAGCCACCGTCGCTGCAGCTACACTGACAGAACATGTCATGTCGCTCGGCACTGTTTTAAGTGCTTTGCTTCTGTTCACTCATGTAATTCACACAGTCATCCCACCGAGGAATTCAACGTTAATGTTTTCATCCCAAAGATGGGAAAACTGAGGCACAGAGCGGGCAGGGAAGGTGCCAATAGTTGGCAGTAAGTGGAGGAGCCAGCATTTGGATGTCTGAGACAGATATAATGCTTAAAGAGAGGAATCAGTGCTGCATTTGGATGTCTGAGACAGATATAATGCTTACAGAGAGGAATCAGTGCTGCGCTGGTGCTCTGTTACTATGGTTTTGCAAATCTTCCTGACCTCAGGGTGAGTCTAGAAATCAGAAAATTTCTACTCTGTTGGCTTTATACGGTGCCCTGACCTTGGCACCGAGGAATGTTTCCCATCCACAGATAGCAAAGCGCATGATTGCCAAATAAATGGCGGCATCCTTGCTCCTGTGGGAATGCCCCAACAAGCTGAGTTCCTATGACTGTGTCATGATTAAGATGAGAAGAATGTACATGTATGAAACTCTTTATGTCCTCTGAGGACTTCATGAATATCCTAATTAGGCAGCCTGTGGCATGTTCCTGGGAGATGCCAACAAATGTGCGTTTCAATGCTCAGGGCCATGAACCTTAGAAGCATCTCCCAGCTTGGGATGGAGGGTCAGGGGAGAGAGACGGGCAAGTCGGCAAGTCTGAGCCCTCAAAAATGACTGAATGAGACTGGCACCTAATACGCTGGAAACACAACACTTGCTTCCATTCTCCTTGGACTGTGTAAATCAAAAGTTAATTACTGGGAGGACCCCATTTGTGTTTTATCGTTCTATTTACATTTTATGAAACCATCTGGTATCATGAATAGGCTCAGTCAATTTAGTTTTATTGGTAATTTTTACAGCAAAAGAAAAAGACTCCATTGGGAGAAACCACAGGGTGGGGGAGGAAGGCGGCCAGCAGCTGTGTGCCCTTGGCTGGACCGATGACCAGTGGGTCAGCTCCATGGGCTGTTCGGGTGGGATCCTGGCAGACTTCTGGGTGCTGGCAGCTTTGGGGCGGCCCCCTCCCTGAGAGGGAGATAAAGTTCTAAGCGGAGGGATAATCTGCATTTCTGGGATGTGGATCCCTTGGTGGGATCTGGACAGTGAATGGCAGGAGAACAGAACAGGCCTGGCAGATGTCCTTCCGGGGCATGGAGCCGCCGTGAGCCAGTCCAAGGTCTCCTTGTCTCCAGCCAGTCTCATCTGCGGGGCGTCCAGGGCCAAACACACGGATGGAGCCTACAAGCCATCTTTGTTCTTTGTCTTTTGTTCGGCATCCCTGGGACACAGCTGAGCGGTCCCCCGGGGGGTGGCTTAGGGAGAGGGGACACCGCCTCTGGCCACGCTTGGCTCAGGGACTAAGGGCCAAAAGCTGCTTTTCGATCTTGACCCACGGCGAGCAGCTGCCGGAGGATTACAAAGCTTTGGACCTTCCCACTTCATTCTAAATGTTATCTCAGCTGGCCAGTGCTTGCAAATGAGTTCTTCAGCCTCCCCTTTGTCCCTAGGTCCCCACCGCCACCAGCCTACACTCAGGCCAATACTGGGGTGCTGTGACTGAATTGCAGCCTGCTGGCTGCGCTGGTGGTGTTTTCATCCTGCCCTCTGGCTTAACACGTGCATGCTAATGGCAGCTGGTGGATCCGATGTGGCAGAGGGATGGCTCTCAAAATCGAATGGTGAGAGCGAACGCCAGGGAGCTTCAGGCTTAGGCGAGTTCCTGGACCCATAAGTGAGAGGCAGTGGAAACGCATTTTTAAAATATATATTTTTTATTGATTTTTTACAGAGAGGAAGAGAGAGGGATAGAGAGCCAGAAACATCAATGAGAGAGAAACATCGACCAGCTGCCTCCTGCACACCCCCTACTGGGGATGTGCACCCAACCAAGGTACATGCCCTTGACCAGAATCGAACCTGGGACCCTTCAGTCTGTAGGCCGACGCTCTATCCATTGAGCCAAACCGGTTTCAGCTGCATTTTTTTTTTTAAACAAGGGAAGCATCTTTCTTCCTGCTACAGAAAAACTTGTACTTCATAACTGTCTGCTATCATCCCCTGAAGGTTTCAGAAGCACAAAACAAAACCTTTCATTGATTCCGCTGGAAAATCACCCTCATTTATTCCCCCCGAATGCTCCCCAGGCGCCATTTCCTCCCTGTGACCCCGTCTCTGTAGTTTTCTCCATTCGGCACCCTCCCTCCCCCAGGGTTCTCTCTGCTGTAAGACATGAATGGGAAGAAGGATCAGAGGCTTTGGACAGGAAAAGGAAACAAGGAAGAAGACACAGAACAAAACCGCAGTGGCTGCTTTATCATTTCTACCAAATACTCCGATTGCCTGGGGCGTGAGAGGCATGCTTTGGCCCTTCCTTCCCACCCCAGTCCCATCCCTCTGGCTCCTTCTCCTCAGCATCCAGGACTAGTGATGAAGACTTGTCTGCACAAAGCGACGGGCACCTGGAGTCATTCTTACACCTAATGCTGTTGTTGCACCAGCACCAGGCGGTGATCAAGGATAACGGTGATCAAAGATAAAGGTTATGCCACTGAACTCACTCAGCGGGCCCTGGAGCATCCAGAATGTCCTCCAGAATCCGCCTGGTCTGGGCTTTCTGAGGACAGGGGCTGAGATGCATTCTCTCCCCACACCACTGGGGGCGCCATTGCCCCCGCTCTCTGGCAGAATGCTGCCCTTTGCTGGGATGCTTGTACAGTAGTTTCAAAGGAAGTGGACAATTTCGTATTTCCCAAGCAAAAGCCAAATGCCCAGAGTTCAGGAGGATAGGACCCCGGCTGGGCTCCTCAGGCGCTCTTATCATTCTGGTGCTTTCCAACCTGCCCTTCCGTCTCCTCCTGTCACTGCGCAGCCCGCGCTTGATGAATGATGGGGCATCCGATGCCTGCTGCTGTCGCTCCCTTCCTCACCCCTTCACTCGTGTCCATTTCCATCCTCTCCTCCCCCTCTTGGCATCTGGTTTATTTGGTATATAAACCGCTGATGCAAATGTCCAAAATAAATTATGCTGAATAATAGATGGAGACAGCTACATCATTTAACATGCGAGAGGCCAGCCAGAGCTGCATGGCTGTGTTCAAACTGGGCCCCGCCTCGGCTTACCATCGCCTGCCTGCGGGGTTTACAGCCTCAAAACTAACGGAGGCCGTGTCTGGGGCTCAGATGCTCTTCCTTGAGGGGTGTGTCTGCCCCTAGAGAGGAACCGGATGCTCCAGCCCAAGCAGCAGGTCATCAGGGACACGGGGTCACAGAAATAGTGGGCCACCCCTGCCATAGGTACCCAGAGCCTGGCTCTTCCAGCATCCCTGCCTCCCATCACGGGAGCCCAGCCCGTGCTCCTACCACAGCCCACACCTCTGAGTCCTCTGCCTTAATTTCCCCCTTTATCTGTGGCCTCTGTGCCTATTAAATGGCTCACCTTTATGTGGCCACTTGGTCCTTCAGAGGTCTCTGAATTAGCACAGGTGACACCTTCCCTGTCTGGGCACCTCAGACCTGCTCACCCACAACCCAGAAACTGCCTGGACCTGCCGCTGCTGCTGGCTCGGGGTGACTGCAGGGCACACCCTGGGTGGCTCTGAAGTCTGGCCTGAGTGGCCGTGACCTTGGGCAGTGCAGGTGGGGGCGAAGTAAACAGAGCTGGTGTTGACAAATGGAAAGAGAAAGCAGGTCCGCTCACCACTGAAGTCGTTCAGAAGAGAATAGTGCTATTATACTTTCCTTCATCCCTGGTGTCTGTTCTCCTCACTGAGGCCCCAGGCATGGCTGAGCTCACAGCCTCGCTCTGATGGGCTAACAGGAAATTTGAGTTGGGTAATTAGGAGGCCAAATCCACACAGGTCAAAACTCATTAGCCAAAGTGTAAAAACGGTGTTCTGGATAACACAGCATTCTCTGTGCAGTCACGCACACTCAGCTTAATTCCCTTCACGCCTCAGAATGGCCTGCAGGCAGACCTGGTGCCTCCCCATATGGGTGCCTTAGGACTCAGAGGGGGGCTGCCTGAACCCTGCACCTGTGTGGGCTTCAGATATGGGTGCTGTGGCCCAGGGGTCAGGCATCATCCTGAGACTCAGTCTCCTGCTTGCCCACTGAGAGAAGTACTGTGCTGGTGGTACGTGGATAGGTACTGCCCGATTCACACCTTAAACTCTAGCATTCCTCTGTGTTCTAGAGAGGAAACTGAGTCTTAGAGCAAGTGACTTTGCTCAGCGCACACCGCTGGCCCGTGGTGGACAGGTTGATTTTACGGTGCTATAGAAGGGGCTGGAGAGCAGGAAGCTGAGCTATCTTGGGGACCCAGCTTTCCTTAGAGGTGTCATCTGGCTCCCACTTGGTGTTCTGCAAACAGGAATTTCATTTCCTTCTAAGAGCTATCACTTCATCATGGTGCCATCATGCGCTGTGACCCGAGCTGCTGAGGGGCCATGGATGGAGTCTTACTCACCAAAGGTTCGACCATAATAAATGGTCAAACCATCGCTGAGTGTCTCAGGGACCACCATGACCGGGACAGTGGCTGCCTTTGAGAAGGCCTCTGAGCATTATAAAATGTTTGGGATCTAAAAAAGGAAAGGAGTTCAGGCCATAATGATGGTTGCCGAAAGATTTTAGATTCTCATTTCCGCCAAAAAAAGGGGGGGGGGGGAAGGGGGCATATAATCCTGAGGTTAGTTCTGTCCGCTTGCACATCTGTGACTCACCAGGGAGGCCTAGGGAATTTGGACAGTTCATCAACAGACCCGGACAGGAGTGGGCCCTCTGGAGGTGCCTGGAGTTTAGAGCTTAAAAATGGAGGTGATTGCCGAAACCGGTTTGGCTCAGTGGATAGAGCGAGTGCATAGAGCTTCGGCCTGCAGACTGAGGGGTCCCGTGTTTGATTCCGGTCAAGGGCATGTACCTGGGTTGCGGCCATATCCCCAGTAGGGGGTGTGCAAGAGGCAGCTGATCGATGATTCTCTCTCATCAATGTGTTTAACTCTCTATCCCTCTCTCTTCCTCTTTGTAAAAAATCAATAATATATATATATATATATATTATATATATATATTATTGATTATATATTAACATATATATTATTATTATTATTATTATTATATATATATAGCAGCAGGAGCCTGGCATGCCTGTGCCCATCCCTCCATTCGGTTTCCCATGCACTTAGCTGATGCGTCCAGCAAGCTCCATGTACCAGCTCCATGTGATTCACATTCAACATTAGATACCCGGAGTGCTGCTCCTCTCAGACAAAAAAAAAAAATATATATATATATATATATTTTTAAATGGAGGTGATTTGTAAATGGGGATAAGAACTAAATGGTGGTTGAAGTGGGGAACCTGCGTAATTTTAAGACCTGGAATCAGAAGAGCCTCAGGCAGACAGAAGACATCGGATTTGCCCCTCTGACGCTCCCCAACAGCGACTTGCATCTCCTGCCTGCTTCGTGCCCGGGAGACACAGGACGGTCAATGTCAGCTTTCAAGTTCTGATTCCTGACTCCTTGGGACACCACACGCCTTCCCCGCCTCTCCCAGAGGTCCTGGTGGAGGCAGCTGTGGCCACTGGGTGGGCTGAAGAAGCTTCTTCAGAAGAGCAGCAGGAGCCTGGCATGCCTGTGCCCATCCCTCCATTCGGTTTCCCATGCACTTAGCTGATGCGTCCAGCAAGCTCCATGTACCAGCTCCATGTGATTCACACTCAACATTAGATACCCGGAGTGCTGCTCCTCTCAGACAAAACGGGGAAACAAATAAAGAAGCCATTGGCCCCTCCCGGCTGGCATGCTTTCCATTTGTCTTGAGAGTTCTCCCAGGGGAACCACCTGGCCTGGTGTTGCTACCAATATGCGGACGCCTCTAAGAACCATAAGTTGTCACTTTCGCCATCGGCCAAGATTTGTGGGGTGTGCACTAGCTATCTTGTGGTAGCATGTAGCTAGATATAGAAACAAATTGAGAGAAACCACCTTTCTTCCTCCGTTATACTTGCTCATAAGATGAATTATAACACTACTTACCTCCTCAGACCCTATCTATGGTGTTAACCTAAAAATAAAAAGGCATTTTCAAAGTGAAAGGCAGCAAGCATTTATTTGAGATCAAGGAGGAGGAGGAGGAGAAGAAGAAGGAGAAAGAGGAGGAAGAGAAGGAGAAAGAGGAGGAAGAGAAGAGGAGGAGGAAGAGGAGAGGAGGAGGAGGAGAAAAAGAAGAATAGAAGAAGAGAAGAAGAAGAACAAGAAGAAGAAGAGGAAGAACAACAACAATAACAACAACAACAACACCAACAACAGAAGGAGGAAATACCCAAACCCAAATAGTCTTTCTCTATGAAAACAAATGCAATGGGCATTTATGAGAAAGGGAAGGAGGATGGTTATGTCAATGGAAGGAAGGCATGTCTGTTGGTGCAGACAGCATAGCATAGTGATGCTAATTCTATTTTTATTTGCATTCAGTAATCATCAGCATCATACTTCTGCATTGATTTTTTTTTAATTGATCGATTTTGTGAAAGAGAGAGGCATCCATCAATTTGTGTTCCACTCATGTAAGCTTTCATTGGTTGCTTCTTGTATGTGCCCTGGTGCCCTGACCGGAGATCGAACCTGCAAACTTGGTATATCTGGTCGACACTCCAGTCAACTGAGCAACCCAGTCAGGGCCTGGATTGGTTTTTAATTGCTGCTTCTTAACTTGGTTCCAATTTGGTTTTTACCAATCCTGCACTTCTTTGTGATTTCTTTTCAACTGAAAAGGAAATGAAATAAAATGTAAGAATGCAGAGGACACAGCCAGCCCAGCCGCGGGGCTTCAGCGAGCCCCCCCTTTGCAGGAGCTGGGCCTTGAGAGGAGTCAGCCGGGGCAGGAAAGCTCTTACAGCCCTGCCAGAAAGGCTGGAGGTGCAGAGGGATTGGTTTGCCCTTGCTCATCTCCCCGGGGAGAAGCTGGGAGAGGGCTTCACTGAACAGGAAAATGTAAAAGGCACTGACCCTCTCATCGGGACCACAGCAGCCAGCTGGCCCAGCACCCTCCACCCAGGCCAACACTCCCTGGTGCTGCTGGCAACTGCTAGGCTGGGCTGGGGAAGCGACCACTACTCACTCGCTCCTCTGGGCACAACCTGGTGAGTGTCCTTCCCTGGATCAGTCTGGGTGCCCACCTTGAGCTTAAAGTATTTTAAAGCATAGGAACAGGTGGTAACCATCGGATGAGGATGTTTAGGGGGTCTGGAGAGTCCTAAGGTTGGTGCCAGGTGGTCGGCCCAGATTCTATCCATGGCAAGAAGAGAGAATGAAGAGTGATGGGCAGGGGGTGGGAATCAGCACAGAGACTGTGGCATTTGCATTTGAGGCATCCAAACAAACCCATCCATTAGGTCCCATCTGAAGGGCTCCTAAGGGGGTTGCTTTAAAAAAAAAATATTTCAAACCAGTTGCTTCTCTTGCCAGAATGACTCATTTATATCCCACAGCTGGGGGATTCATCGGAGGAATTCCCTGTTGGGGTTTACAACAAGGGCGCAGGTGATAGCCCGTGAAACCGTTTCGAGGAGGCGAATGTCACCAGGGCGGGAAGGAGAACTTCCTGGGAAAGTGGTCTCTGGAGGGAGGGAGTCCCTGTCGTGGCGATGCCTCTTTAGAGACAGGAAGGTCAGAGGGCGAATACAAGTGTCAGGTGAGGCCTGCAGGACATGCTTTCTGACATCCTCCTGCAGCAGGAATGCACGTATTCCAGGACTTTGCAGACGGTGCCTGCTGAGGGTGGTACTCTATGACTCTGTGTTACCTGCACCCTGTGCCCCCCTCTACTTCCCCCTCTCCCCTCCCCTGCCCATGGCCTCTATTCATCAGAATCAGATAGTGAGGAGCTGAGATTACACGCTGAGGAAATGGGTAAACTGAAATGGGGCTGGGATTGAACTCACCCGGGCAGGCAGCTTCTTCATTTAGCAGTTTGTGCAAAGTCTTATTAGGAAAAGGCAGCGATCTGGAACACTGGCTCTAGCTGCCCTCTTGGTGGCAGCGGGGTGGCGGTGCTGGGAGGAGCAGAGGCAGCCCTGGGGGCTCAGGGCTCAGGCAGGGCCTGCCAGCCTGGCAGTCCTCTGGGCTTAGCTCCTTTCAGGGATCAAAGGAGACGCTTGATGCCATTCAGCCCCTGCCTGCCTTGCCTGTTCCAGCTTCCTTCCAGATAGATCACTCTCCCATCTTCCCATGTTCCCTGGGACATTTCCAATAGTTCTCTCTCTTCGCCAATCTGCGGTTATGAAGACAGGTGGCGGTGGGCCCTGGGAATAATGCATGGGCACCCTAGTGCAGAGATTGGGGGTGAAGGGAATTAGGAGCAAGGCAAGCATGTGAACTTAATCTGAAGTGGCCACGATGCCGTACCTGTAAGGGCAGTGCTCACTGCACAGCAGTAGCATGGAGAGTTGTCTTGCTAAAAATAGTGACTAGAATTTGTGAGAGTCCAGCCCCGGCTCTCAGTAACCTTGGAATTCCAGAGAGATGGGTGTTTGTGCATTTCTTAAGTCCTCCATCTCTTCTCTCTCACTCTGCCTCTCTGCCACTGTGCATCTGTTCCTGCTTCCCTCTCTCTCTCTCTCTCTCTCTCTCTCTCTCTCTCTCTCTCTCTCTCTCACACACACACACACACACACACACACATGTGCACACACACACGTGCACACACTCAAAATACTACCTTTTCTTTCTTTTTTTTAAAAAAATATATTTTATTGATTTTTTACAGAGAGGAAGAGAGAGGGATAGAGAGCTAGAAACATCAGATCAGCTGCCTTCTGCACACCCCCTACTGTGGATGTGCCCCGCAACCAAGGTACATGCCCTTGACCAGAATCAAACCTGGGACCCCTGAGTCCATAGGCCGATGCTCTATCCACTGAGCCAAACTGGTTTCAGCAACACAACCTTCTCTTAAACTTCTTTGCGCTTCAGAGGACCATGAGCCTGGGGGAAGGAGCCTTGGCTCTCTGCTTTAGAGTGGCCTTTCCTACCTGTAAAAAGGGAGAAATACGTCAATATATAACCGGATATTTTTTGTGTCTACAGCAAGTTTAAAGATACATGCTGATGCCATTCTAAAGGCAGCCTCACAATTTCCAGATGAGGAATGTCACAGGAGTCTGAGGTTTTGTAATTATCTATGTATGTGCTCTGGGTCCCCAACCAGGAGGCCACGGATTGCCTCTTTGGCGGGCGACAGAGCCGTTCATGAGACGTGTCACGTGCCACGTGCCACGCACCCTTTATTGGTTCATCTGGAAGGGAGAATTAGTTATGTCACATCGGAAAGTCACTTTACATTCATAGGTCATAAACCTGGAGGAAAAATAACCCCAAGTTTCAGCATTCAATTTGTTGACTCGGAGCAAAATGCAACCTCTTCAGCTGATGAGACGAGGGTGGAGGAGATGGAAAAGGCTTTTAGGAGCTCACTTTAAAAGCTCAAAAGGTGTCTGGGACATTAAATGGCTGTTAAAAGCTCCAGTTGTATAATTTAAGTGTAAATGAGTATGAACGATGCGGATTAAATTTGCCTTAAAATATCAGTCTGGAAAAATCAAGGAAGACGATTGGAGACAAACACAATTTGACTTTTTTTTTTTTTCAGAACCCAGAACATTTGGACAAAATAATTTCGGAGTCTCAATGGAAGCTAAATGCAGTCAGATTTAAATGTCCCTAATGATCTCCCCATTAAAAGCTACAATTCAGTAATAATTATAACCGCATTAAAATAAGTACATGTATTTATACATACACCACAGAAAGTACACAGATGTAGTTTAAGCTCTTAGAATTTTTTTTTTTTTTTTTTTTTTTTTTTTTTTTACCATAGATGATGAGAATGTGTATATACTCATCACATACACACACACACACACACACACACACACACACACACGGCTTTGGGAGAGGGAAAAGATACAAGAGGACACAGACAGGCCTAAAGAGACCTAAATTATTCTTGCTGTGTATTTGCTCTATCCCAAGCATGTCATTTAACCCTCATGAAAGTGGCATATTCAATAAGGCAAGTTGAGAGACGTGAATGAAACTCACTAAGATGATTTGTCTAGGAAGTTATAGACATGGAATTTGAATTCTAGTCTTTCCGAGTTAAGGTTCAGGTTTATTTTCACAAGAAAATGGTCTTTTCCACTCTCATAATTGCTGTCAAAGAAAAAGAAATAGTGCCAAAACCGGTTTGGCTCAGAGGATAAAGCGTCAGCCTACAGGCTGAAGGGTCCCAGGTTCGATTCCAGTCAAGGGCATGTACCTTGGTTGCGGGCACATCCCCAGTATGGGGTGTGCAAGAGGCAGCTGATTGATGATTCTCTCTCATCGGTGTTTCTAACTCTCTATCCCTCTCTCTTCCTCCCTGTAAAAAATCAATAAAATATATTTTAAAAAAGAAAAAAAAAAGAAATAGTGATACATGTAGGAATTCCCGACTCCTGCAAAACCACTTCTTTGGCCACTTCCCTGCTGATGGGCCGGGGATGAAGAAGGCAGCAAGGAGGACATGTGCCTTTGAGCTCAGTTTCCAGGGCTCTGCTCAGAAAGGCAGGGGGTCCAGCCAAAGCAGCCCACATCACAATGAAATATCTCCAGGGAAGTTCCCAAGGAGAGAATGCAGGCAGCAGCCAGCAGAAGGAAGCTGGTCCATGGTTCTCTGCTGTGCCAGTAAGAGTAGAGATGTGACCAAAACCGGTTTTGCTCAGTGGTAGAGCATCGGCCTGCTGACTGAAAGGTCCCAGGTTCGATTCCAGTCAAGGGCATGTACCTTGGTTGCGGGCATATCCCCAGTAAGGCGTATGCGGGAGGCAGCTTGTTGATGTTTCTCTCTCATCGATGTTTCTAGCTTTCTATTCCTCTCCCCTCCTCTCTGTAACAAATCAATAAAATCTATATCTTTTTAAAAAAGAGTAGAGCTGTGATCCTACCCCGGGGCACACCTGGAAGGAAGCAGAGAGTACAGAGAAGCTGGGTGGGGAGGGAGAGGACAAGGAGGAGAGCAAGGGATGGCCACTGCATCTTCTTTATCATCCTGTCCATGGCCTTCATTTTTGCAGGTTCTGTCCATCAACTGCTAAGAGTTAATAATTTAAAAAAATAGGTACAACTTGAGATAATTAGGTGGAAAGACTTGGGAGAGCCCAATTACTCTGTGCTCCCAGTTGCTTGGAAATGGACTTCATTTCCCCATCAGGAGCGAAATGATGAGTGACAGGCTGGCTCCACGAGGTGCCTTCCTCTGTCAGGAGAGAGGCTCTATGGATTGTTGCTGCAGCGCTCGTGTGTGTGTGTGTGTGTGTGTGTGTGTGTGTGTGTGTGTGTCCATGCATACTTAAACTAAATTGAGAGGCACCTGCTACGGGGAGAGCTGCTATATATTTTTCTCTCTCCCCAATTCATCACAGCTGTTGCTTCCCTTGAAAATCTAGTAGGTTTCTGAGAAAAGTCATGTTTATTATGGAAGCCATTTATTAATAATAAATAGAGGTGGGAACTCTGTTAGAAACACATATTCTGTTTCTCCACACTGAACATGAAGGCATTAATGGCTAACTTACTTCTGCTTTACAGTCTGGGCTCACCTTTGTAGTTTTCCTCTTTAGGTATCTTTGGATCATTTATTCATCCCCCATTTGTCCATTCATTCATTCATTCATTCAACAAAGACTTCTTTCAAGTCTGTTATCCTCTGCAATGCACCATGATAGGCGTAGGACAATTGCAGAACTGGTGAGCAATATTCTTCTAACAGATTCTTGATCTGGTGGGGAAGAGGGAAACATCAAAAGCAAAATACCATCTAGAATATAATGTCCCATATTCCACTAGTAGATTCCCTCTGAAGAATGATATCATGGCTTTTAAATTCAAATGGATAGTATTTGCCCTAATGCATTTTTGGGTAAGTGTGCTATTTGTGAAACTATTTCAGAGTACAAACACCCAGATTTCTATTTTCAAACCTAAGGTGGCGTGAGGGCAGCTGAGCTGACAGGTGTACCTTTTCTTATGTGGGATGTGAGCCTTTCATTCTTAAACCTCTCGATTCTGAAAAATTGTATCATTTGATCATCATTCAATGGACATACAATTTCTGGGCATCTGTTCCATTGCCAGAATCACACAGGATGCGGGGATTCTAGGGGTAAACATGCTCACACAGTCCTTCTGCTCATATTGCTTTTAATCAATCAAAGAAGAAAATAGATATTAAACAAATAATTACCACCAATAAGTGTTTCATTACAGCTTTAATTAAGTGATATGATGAATAGGGGAGCACAGTGCTTTGAGAATGCATATTAAGGGCCTGGCATTGATTGAGGGGAAGAGAGGGAGGGCTTAAGAAAGCCATTCTTGATCAATAAAATTTATGATGGGAAGCAGTCAACTGCAGAGGATTTAGGATAGCTTTTCGGGTAGCTTTTTATTTATTGTTTTTGTTCCCATATAAATATGCATTTTTCCAAGACTGAGTAGGTTTGGTTCTTAGACACCAATGGGAGATGTTAAAGCAGGCTGCCTTATGAGCTGTTAGAACAGGGAGTAGGAGGTGGCATAACTTACAGGGAATGGGGAATCCCATACTCTGAACTATAACCTGTTCCGGCCCTTAATATATTCCTTTGATCCTGGAGAAGGTCATTGATTTAGGCATTTTAAAAATATATATTTTATTGATTTTTACAGAGAGGAAGGGGGAGGGATAGAGAGTTAGAAACATCTATGAGAGAGAAACATTGATCAGCTGCCTCCTGCACACCCTTCACTGGGGATGTGCCTGCCACCAAGGCACATGCCCTTGACCGGATTTGAATCCAGGACCCTTCAGTCCACAGGCCGAAGCTCTATCCACTGAGCCAAACCAGTTTCAGCTAGACATTCTTTTTTCATCGCATAGCATCCTTCACATCAATGTTTTTCTGGGATAGTCAGTACTTGCAAATCCTGCTGTTAAGGAATACGAAAAGGTGCACTTCTGAAGCCTAAGAGCAGCGAAGGGTACGGAAATGTTTTCCCAGAGAGAAGATCAGCATGAGTGCAGACACATGGCTGGGAGGAGGTGCATACTGCAGGGTCTGTGGCTGGGAGTGAGGGGGGGTGATGACAGGCGAGGGCACGTAGGGATAGCTGGTTCTCTCATATTAAAGGGTAATTGTAGTGACAGCAATGCATCCAAAAGCCTGAGCCTCAAAATTTCATTTGACAGTCTGTCTTTCTCTGTGGAGATTGCCTCTTGAGAATGCACCTACCCCACCTCAGAGCTATGGTGCCTCTTCCTCTGACAGCCAGGAGCTGGCTAAGCAATCATTTCCTTTGAGTGAACATATGGTTAGCATCAGAAGGCGAAGGAATCTTGGGAGTCATCTGGTTTGACTGACCCTCCCCAACATCTGCCTTTGTATAGATGAAAAGGCTCAGGCCTAGAGAGGCCATGGAAATCCAGGCCGATCCAAAGTTAGCACCAAGCCTATGCCATCCAGGGCCTTTAAACTGGAGTATCATTAAGAGAAGCTTCTACATGTTGTTATTCCATTGCCAGTGGTTTGACTTAGAGCCTCTGAATTCATTGACTATCAAAGTCTTCTATTTGAACTGAAACTTTTATGGCTTCCTCTGGAACATAAGGGGACTTGCTGCAGAGACATGTGGAACTTGGTGTAAGGCTAAACACAGTACCCTGAGCGCCCCTAACCTTCCAGGCAAAGACACTAGCCACAGTTCACTGCACCCTGAGTATTTTAGTTGGAGTAGCAAGGGTCCAAGGTATGTGATTTTGGGGTATTGTCTCATTTAAACCTTAAAACAACCTTATGGAGTGTGGCTAGCATTATCACCATCCCTGGTTTACAGAGGAAAGGGACAATTATTAAATGGGTGGCATTTGAAATCCTCTGTGTGTATTACCTATTCATTCCTTATGACCCTACCGGAATATCCATTTCACAGACAGGAAACAGGTGAAGCAAATCCAATGTGCATAGATGGCATGTCCAAGATTTTAAAGCTCGTGTGTATCCGGAGGCAGAATTTGCACTAGAGGGCTGGCCTCATCTCCCCTCACACTGTCCCATCTCAGAGAGTCAGGATTTGAATTTGGGTCTCCTGGAATCCAGAAGCTTTGCTTTTCCTCTCTGTGTTTTTTTCCTGCTAAGTTTATCGACACAAAATATAACGTACACAAGATGGCACCTTCCAGGGATTCTTAATCACAAGGGATAATACGAAGAGTGATATTTCTTTATCCCAAATGAATTTAAGGTCACTATGAAGCAATGAAGTCTGATGTTCACGCTTCTGAGAAACCAGAGCTGGGGGCGGTGGGGGAAGGTGGGAATTGAGCGTTCTCTTTGGTACCTAACCTGCCACTTCCCTGCCCTTTGCAAAGCTCAGGTTGCTTTTCAGGAAGCCTAGTTCTGTTGCGTTTGTGAGGGTTTTGCAGATGTTCAATAAAGGCCACCATGTGTGGTCCAGACCAGGCTGTGGGGGGAGGGTAAAGGATCAGACCACCAGTGATCTGTACATCTTCCTTCGTGCCCAGGTTTCATAATATCCATCTTTATAAATATTTGCTGTGTATCTTATACTTTAAAAGCCAGATAATCTGGTTCTTTTTTTATGAAGAATAAAAAAAGAGAAGTGAGACGTGAGGCTAGGCTTAAGGAGCTGGGAAAATGCTACCCACTGGGGTGAAAAATCTATATAGAATTTTCAAATTTGGATTTATAAACAATTTACATGGTAAGTCAAAGGACCAGTTTATTAGTGTTTTTTTTTTTTAATTTTGGCATTCAGAGAATAACCTTGTCTTAATTCTGTCTTGTTCTTTGATTTCCAGAATATATATTTTTGCATAGTTTAAATACTCGCTAATTGATGATGCCAGCTCTCTGGTACGATGAAAGAAGTTCCTTTTTCCATTGCACCCTTTAAAACTGTCTTGAAATCAATAGAAATGATGTTTTTTTAAAAGCACTTCGCATAACCTGACAGATCGCTATGGTAATGCCTCATTAACTTGGCCTCCCCAAAGTCAGAATTTTACAGTTCACAGACAGGTCTGGGCCAAGATTGCTGATTATTTACCCCTCCTGATAATTTATCTCCCAGTTTCAGGTCTTTATATACATAATTTACAAGTACCTGTCGGCTGAATTTTGAGATAGAAAAGTCCTATGTAGAAAGGCTCTGAGCTGAGCCCCAATGTCCCTCTTCACTCCTCAACTTCTAGGCTCCTCATGGCTCTCACCATGAGGCAAAGCTACTCACTCTTGGCCAAATAGACACTCCAAGGGACTGGCTGAGGGGGGAGACCACAGCAAAGGGAGCTCACACCCTTCCTTTTAGAACGAGGGGAAGTCTGGGTTAGTGCTCTGTGCATTTTGCCCTCACATCACTGCAAGGTATTATTATCCTGTTTTACAGATTAACAAACTCGAGGTCCAGAGAGACTGAGTAACTTGATCAGAAGGTATACCCCTGAAAGCATGAGGTTTGGTATTGGACCTGACTTCAAAGTCCGTGAGATGTTACCTCCTGGCTTTGTGATCTCGAGCAAGTTTATTTATCCTCTTTCTTTAGCCTTGGTTTCTACATTAGTATCCTGGGAACATACTAGTAAGAGTACCTCCTAGGTAACAGTAGAACCTCATGATGTTCCTATGGTAAAGCATGAATGAATTCACTGCACAGTGCTCAGCATGGACACATAGGAAGCACTATATAATCATAGTCATTATGTATTATATGTACACTAGAGGTCCGGTGCATGAAGATTCGTGCAAGAATGGGCCTTCCTTCCCCTGGCTGCTGGCACCACCTTTGCTTTGGCCCAGAGTCACCTTTCCACTTTCCCGTGCTACCTAGAGGCCCAGAGCAGTTGGGGCGGTGAGGAATGCCCCACCCTGGCTGTTTGTCACCTGTGTTTGCTAATTTACCCACCACCTTTGTTGGGATAATTTGCATACTTGCTCCTGATTGGTTGGTGGGTGAGACGAAGGTAAGGTCAATTTGTATCTTTTTCTTTTATTAGTGTAGATTATGTATTGTCTGCCCATTCCGGTGGGTTATACAATTCAGTTAGATGAGGGCTTTGTTTTGATGGCAGCTATGATTCCCAACACAGAATATTATCAGTAGCATAGTAATTAATAAATAGTCAACAATGTTGCTTGAATCAATATGTGACTGGAATGTCCACTCAAGAGTGTCACAGGTAAATACTGGGAGGTGAGATTGGGGTGAGGGGGTAGGGCAGTGCGGAGTCAGACTTCCTCTCTTGTCCCTGGGAAGAATGGATTTATAGAGCACCTGGCTTTTCTGAGCAGCAGACAGGGCATATGAATTCAGTCTTTCAAGTTTCTCATCTCCTGCTGCTCCGCAAACTCAGCTTTTGGGAAATCCAGAAAATCCCATCTTTTCCAGGTTCCATCATCAAACCCCTCTCCTTTGTTTTTCCTGCACCCTGCTCTGGGTTTAGGACTGCATGTCTTCTGAATAATGCACCTCTTTATGTATCAACATCCAGCTCACATGTTACCTACCTACTTACCTGTGATAAGCTAGAATCAGAACTTGGTTACCTGATTTATCTCAGGAAAAGCTGAGAGCCTAAGGAGAGAAAATATTCATCAAAATGTTCAACTGCCTTGAATATGTAGGTAGGACACAGTCATTTATTAGGTGTAAAGCATTGTGCTAAGTCCTAGAATGCAAAGTAAATGAGATTTCATGAAATATACTGCCATGCTATGGAAACCTATTCAACCGTGTAAAGCAGTATTGTTTTCCAGATACACTGACATGGGAGATATCCAGAACATGTGGTAAAGTGGAAGAATAAGTAGCAATATGGTATACATATATTCAAGACTTGTTTTAGCCCTAACCAGTTTGGCTCAGCGGATAGAGCATCAGCCTACAGACAGAAGGGTCCCAGGTTCGATTCCAGTCAAGGGCATGTACCTTGGTTGGGGGCACATCCCCAGTAGGGGGTGTGTAGGAGGCAGCTGTTTGATGTTTCTCTCTCTAATCGATGTTTCTAACTCTCCCCCCACCTCTTCCTCTCTGTAAAAAAAAAAAAATCAATAAAATATATTTTTAAAAACTTGTTTTTAAAGCATCGCATTATATCTATATCCATATATGTATGCCTAAGTGCATGCCACAGCCCAGAGATTTTTTTGAGTAATTGTATGTACAGAAAAATACCCCTTAAAAGAACACAACATTTGATACAGGTGGCTTCCTCTAAATAAATGAAATTGGTGAGGGTAGAGATTTTGCTTTGTCTACTTGGCATTTCCCCCCATCGTTTTTTGTAATGAAAGACAAACAAACCATTGAGACTTAAAAACAAGAGATAACAACAACAAACTGAGGTTATATAATGAGAGTTTATAAAATTGCTCTTCTTGTTCCTCCAAATAAGCCATGGCCCCCTTCTTGAGGGAGACTGGCAACCCTAAACAGGTGTGCCAGCCAGGATACCTGTGACAGGCACAGGACTGTGTGAGGGTACAGGGGAAGGAGGGCTTTTCTCACAGCTGTCACGGCTGATTTCTGAGAGATGGTCCTTGAACTGGTTCGTGAAAAGTAGGTAGGTCTGCCCTAATTGGTTTGGCTCAGTGGATAGAGTGTCGGCCTGCAGACTGAAGGGTCCCAGGTTTGATTCCGCTCAAGGGCATATACCTTGATTGTGGGCACATCCCCAGTAGGGGGTGTGCAGGAGACAGCTGATGTCTCATCGATGTTTCTAACTTTCTGTCCCTCTCCCTTCCTCTCTGTAAAAATAAATAAATAAATAAATAAAAAATAAAATAAAAAATAAAATAAAAAATCAATAAAATATATTTAAAAATAAAAAATAGGTAGGCCAGAGGACCTCCACACGGGTGGGAGCATGTGAACAAGCTGGGGGCAAATGGAGCTTATCTGAGGGATGATGGGTGGAGGGTGGCAGGGCATGGGCTGGGCTGTAGCATGAAGGAGGCTGAAAAGATAGGTTGCATCCAGGCTGTTAACTCATCTTTGTAGATTGCTGTCTAGAATCAGCGTAAAGATGGATTCACTTTCTTCTTTAATTTCAGAACTATGTTTTGAGTGTCTATTGGGTGTTAGATTTCTTACTAATGTGGGGATTTCATGTTAAACAGGAAATATATGAACTTAGCCTTCTTGGAGACTCCACTCCAGTAGACTTGAAGATAATTTTTTTTTTTAATCTCAAAAAAGACAAGATAAGAAACTACAAAACTAGCAATACCTTGTTCTAATGTTTTATTAATGCATTGGTGGTTTGCATTAATTAAACATTAGAACAAAGTATTGCTAAAGCACTAAAGATTCAAATCTGTAATTGAGAGCAGCTTGGGCCTTTCAAGATGAAAATGTGGAGGTAAAGCTGAGATTTCTGGAAATCAGCTTGAAATAGCTATACCATGTATTCTCCTCTTGGTTGTCTTGAGAGGGAGAGAGTTAAGTTTGTTTAGCTAGCTGTTTTTCTGTCTTCTGCACTGTTGGGTTTCCATCACTAGGTGAATGGAGTTTCAAGGGTCTGGTTAAGGCAATGAACAATGAACCTTTAAAAAAAAAAAAAAATATATATATATATATATATATATATATATATATATATATATTATTGATTTTCTTTTTTACAGAAAGGAAGGGAGAGGGAGGGAGAGTTAGAAACATCGATGAGAAACATTGATCAGCTTCCTCCTGGATGCAACCCACTGGGTATGTGCCCACAACCAATGTACATGCCCTTGACGGAAATTGAACCTGGGACCCTGGAGTCTGCAGGGCAATGAGCCAAAGCAGTTAGGGCAGTGAACTTTTTTTTTTTTTTTTTAACAATGCTCTTAAAATTATGTATGTAAATATAGTAAATAGTCACACACACACACACACACACACACACACACACACACATTGTAATTTAAAACATCTTCGTTTTGAAGTTACTATGCAAAAACCTGTAGTGTAACACAATGGAATAGGGTTTGAAACAGTGTCACGACAGCCATGGATCTATAGATCATTGAATGAGACACAATTCTTTGGACCTCATTTTGGAAGGGATGCTCGGGTGAATTTTTTGTGTATTTCAGGAAAGTCTTCAAATGCCAATTTTATTTCTTTTTCTGCTTGGATAAAATGTGTGGCTGGGGGGGGGGGTCACTTAAAAATTGGTCATCTATCGGGGTTGATAATTGTGCTTTTGATGTATGCCTGGCAGCTGTGCATGAAAAAGACTGTACTGTCTGGATCGCCTTTTCTATTTTTCTGAACTTCCCAGCAAAGATACCTCTCTTCTCCCTTCCTACCTTGTTCTTTGACTAAATGCCGATTTGGGAGCCCTCCCATTCAGATCAAGCTTGCCCCATTAAACAAGGGAGCAGTAAATTAATCACTCAGGGACACTTGAGGGAGAGCAGGTGAATCAGAGGCTGGGTCTCAGACTCCCGCTGAATCAATGCACTCAGCAAGCAACGTGGCTATTGACTGCAATTCACTGCCATCAACGCTGTTTGTCTTCCTTCTGGAGAGAAGAGTTCCATGACCAACCTAAATACCTGGGTGGCTCCTGGCTTAGTCATTCCCAGTTAATTGCAGTGAATGGCTCATTATCTTGGCCTTTCCGGACCTCAGTCACCTCCGAGAAGCAGCGAGGTGTGGCAATGAGTCCACGCAGCAGGCTCAGCATTCTGATGGTCACATTGATTAGGCAGGTGCCATGTGCTGAATTTGGTGCAGAACTGAAATGACATGGTTTCTGCCTTTAATGAGTGAGCATATTAAGGTTTAATAATCTTTTCCCAAGAGCTGATCCTTTCCTAGATTAAGGACAAAGTGTCCCTCTAGAAGTAAAATGATGCTTTATTTATGCCTCTCAAATCCTTTCTTTAAAAAAAATATATATATATATATATATATATATATATATATATATATATATAGTATTGGTTTTTTATAGAGAGGAAGGAAGAGGGATAGAGAGTTAGAAACATCAATCAGCTGCCTCCTGTACACCTCCCACTGGGGATGTGCCCACAATCAAGGTACAAGCCCTTGACCGAAATAGAACCTGGGACCCTTCAGTCTGCAGGCCAACACTCTATCCACTGAGCCAAACCTGTCAGGGCCTGTCAAACCCTTGCAAATTTCCCAGAGCAAGAAGCAAAGGATGCAATACACCCTGAGGGTATGGGGATGCTGAGAAGGACAGAGGTACACTAGTAGAGGAAAATCCTTGTGCTAAAATGCCGTGTTGTTTGTAGTGAGTACAAAAGGTGGTGCTGGTGATGGGTTCCATCTTCCTGTGTGGGAAACGCCTCACCCTGTTGAATCAAGACAGCACATTTGTAGCAGCCTGCTGACGTGGAGCAGATGACACACTCAAGGCCAGTCATTGCTAGTGGACTGGCTTCCTTAGCCGTGTGGTCTCTGCACCCCATCTTTATGTCTTTATCGGAAAGGGTGCGAGGCCCTCTCTTTGAGTAATATCAAGCTGTCCACAGAAGCCTGCCTGTTTCCAGGAAGGCTTTGGGGTCACTGAAGTTACAGGAATCGGTCCCTGTGCTCAGTCATGTAAATAAATAGCCCCGTCGTATTCCAGATGCTCATCAATTATGAGTGCCCCACCCAGTGCAATAGGGCAATTGATAATGTGCCTTGGCTCACAGAGTGGTGTTTCTTTCATTTACTCTCAGCCTAGCAGGGTCCCAGCTGTTTTTAATCTCCTCGCTCACATTGCCCTTTTCTTTCATTACTCTATTCTGGCTTTTGCTTAAAAGGGAAGGCGCCATATTGGATTGTCAATAAATCTCTTAGTGAGCAGCGCTTTTAAGGGGCAACGTCTTTTTATTAGAAAGTCTGGTACCAGG